AGCAAAATCAATGGAGGGAATGTGGCTGCTGGGGGTTGGGCATCACTGGAGTAGACACACAGCGAGAAAACGGGAAAGAGAGGTGAGAAAGCGTTAATCACAAGCAGTGGTGGAAAGCGTCAAGAAAGGCCCTGAGGTAAAAAGGTAGAAGGCGTGGCTCACTGGTTGAGTGTTGAGCTATGAACTAGGAGGTCACAGTGGGGGCACAAGCCCGGGTTGCAAGCTCGATCCCCAGTGTGGAGTGTGCAGGAGGCAGCTGATCATTGATTCTCTCTCATCATTGATGGTTCTATCTCTACCTCTCCCTCACTGAAATAAATATAATCCTATCTAATAAAGAGGTAAGATGCAAATTGACCATCATGCCCTCGCACAAGATGGCCGCCCCCATGTGGTCACAAGATGGCCAGCAGGGGAGGGAAGTTGTGGGCAACCAGGCCAGCAGGAGAGGGAAGTTAGGGGTGACCAGGCCTACAGGGGAGGGCAGTTGAGGGGTGACCAGGTTGGCAGGGGAGGGCAGATGGGAGCGATTGGGCTGGCAGGGGAGCAGTTAGGCGTTGATTAAGCTAGCAGGGGAGTGGTTAGGGGGTGATCAGGCTGGCAGGCAGAAGCAGTTAGGGGCAATTAGGCAGGCAGGCAGGCGAGCGGTTGGGAGCCAGCAGTCCCGGATTGTGAGAGGGAGTCGGACATCCCCCGAGGGGTCCCAGATTAGAGAGGTTGCAGGCTGGGCTGAGGGACACCCTCACCCCCAGTGCACGAATTTCATGCACCGGGCTTCTAGTGTGTGTGTGTGTGTGTGTGTGTGTGTGTGTGTGTGTGTGTGAATCCTATATAATAAAAGGGTAATATGCAAGTTGACCAAATAGCAGAACGACCAGTACACTATGATGTGCACTGAGCACAAGGGGGCAGACACTCAACACAGGAGCTGCCCCCTGGTGGTTAGTGAAAGGCAGTGTTTATTAAAATACATTTCATTTTCAAAATTGAGCTATCAGCTGTTGAAGTGTGTATACATTTTGGGGGGCTCCCTGTATATGGTATATATATTCATATGTATACTTTTATTATGGAAAACTCCAAACATAAAAGTGAGCAGAAGAGTATAACACTTATTGTTATTGTGTAACAAACCACCCCAAAATTCAGTGTCTTAACATAAAAAGTGTTTTTTCTCATTATTTCTCATGATGCTGAGGGTTAAAGGGCACTTCTGCTGGTCTCTCTAGAGGTCACTCATGCAGCTGCATTTAGTTGGGGCTGGACTGGGGCTTCTGGCCAGGTGCCTCGTTCTTCTCTGCACGGCCTCTCCACGTGACTAGCTTGGGCTTCCTCACAGCATGGCAGTCTTAGCGTTCTCAGAGCACAAAAGCAGCAGCATTGAGTTCTCTTAGGAACTGGACCTGGAACCAGCCCAGCATCATTTCTGCCACATTCTATGGTTGAGAGCAAGTCACAAGCCAGCCAGATTGAAGGAGAAAGGACAGAGAGCCCGCCACTCAGTGAGAGAAGCCACACGCCAGAACAGAGAGGGCAGGCAATGCACCACGAGTGCCCGACAAGGGCCAGGGTTCGGATAGTCCGTCTCACCTAACCCTCAAGCAACCCTGTGACATTGCTATTATCACCCCCATTTTAGAGGTCTCGTGGGACACCCAGCTAGGAATAGCAGAGCTCAGGTTTGTGGCCAGTATGGCTCGGTTAGTTGAGTGTCATCCCTTGCACCTAAAGGTTGCTGGTTCGATTCCAGATTGGGGCATATGCCCAGGTTGTGGGTTCAGCCCCTGGTTGGGGTGCCTGTGGGAGGCAGCTGATCAATGTTTCCCTCTCACATTGATGTTTTTCGCTCTCTCTCTCCATCTCTATCTCTCTCTTTCCCTCTCCCTTTCTTTCTCTCTAAAGTCAATAAAAACATATTTTAAAAAATAAAGAAATAAACCAGGATTATATGCATTATGTCCCACAGAAAAAGAAAGTCGGTGGCCATGTCAAGCAAGGCTTGAACCAAGGTCTCTAGACTCCCAGATTGATATATGTATAATTATATACTAATACATAATTATATATAATTAATACACAGTTATATATTAACACATAATTATGATAGCTAATTTAACATAGTAATAGACATCATTGTTAATTGGTGGGGAACAAAAAGATACAAAGAAGAGCCCTGACCGGTTTTGTTCAGTGGATAGAACATCGGCCTGCGGACTGAAAGCTCTCAGGTTCGACTCCAGTCAATGGCATGTACCTTGGTTGCAGGCACATCCCCAGTAGGAGGTGTGCAGGAGGCAGCTGATCAATGTTTCTAACTCTCTATCGCTCTACCTTCCTCTCTGTAAAAAATCAATAAAATATATATTTTTAAAAAG